CTATCTTTTATCACGTCTAGACCACGCTTAGCACCTTCCCTTTCGGGAAGATAAATACGTGATGACCCGCGTTTACCCGTCACAAGTGCCGAAAGAAGTACAGCACAGCAGAGAGATTCGAAATGCTCCGAAACAGTGCCACTGGAAGAAGAAAATCCGAGTGTTAACAGCAAGGGCTCATTTTAGAACTGAGGGCTGTGTTCACACTTTACGTCAGCGTGTGGCAGCGTTTTCCAAGCGTACGCCAGCGCAAGCGACTAACAAGGAAGATCTCACAAGGGAGGTCTTTCAGGTCGTGGCGCTTTTCAGAAATGGTTTGTTGCATGTTGTAGGGGTCCATATAAGGATCACAAAAATGGGTTTCGTTTTTGCTATGCATTTCTGGGAAGGTCAAAAAATGGGTGAAAAGTTTGCTGGGGAAAAGCGATTTTGAACCATTTTTCTAGGCTTTTTTTCTATCTCTAATGTTGAGTATGCACAGCAAACCTTCGTCGACACTGCATCGAAAACAATACAAGTCAAGGTGAAAAAAGTACTTTATTTGGCACACAGTGAGGCAGCATTGTAGTTTCTCAAGTGATTCTCGCAGCATCCCAACCAGTTAGGGGGGGGTATTCAGAGCCATGTTGGCGCCAAATGACCTAGGCGCCAGTTATAAAGGTCAGAACCGTGATCAGGGCCGTTAATAACCTCTATATACAGACTTTCAGCGAAAATTTTCTCCTCGAGCTGAGCGCTTAACAGCCCATGCGTGCGGGTTGACAACAATTCAGTGCAAGAATGCTCTTGCAGCAAATCGGCGATAGGCTGCGCCGTGGTCAAAAATGAGTGTCGTACTCGTGAGTAGGGCATCCAGTCATCCCCGTAGCCCAACTTTCAGCAAGAGTTTCCTCAGTAATGTTTCGAGAGCGCAATAGTTAAGTAGGGTCGACTCGTGAAGTTTGAGTGTACAGAATGAGCTCTTAAATGGCATATATCCATGTTATATACATCATCCACGCACGCAGGAACACAAGGAGACGGAAATCCGAAAAACGCATAAAGTATCCGAAAAATGCAAAAAGTTCGTCGCCAAGAGGATCCGATCCACAAACCTTCTTCGTGAGAGCCCACCGCACTATCCACTCCGCCATCCGTCCGACCACGAACAGTGGTTGCGGGAATCGTTGAAGTAACTTCGGTACTACTTTTCTCCATGCACTCTTTTTGACTTTATTTTGCTCTCTTTTCGATACATAGTGAAGGAACACCTCATAAACTATGCACTCTCAAAGTTACAGGTAAAGTAAAGTAAAGTAAAGTAAAGTTATAACAGAGCCTAATAAAACGCCCTTCCTTGTCAAATTGTTTTCACACAGTTTTTGACCTCCCCTCAAAACGAAACCCATTTTCGTAATTCCTGTATGGACCCCTACAAAAAGCAACAAACCATTTTTAAAGCGCG